ATATATATATGTAACGTTATCTATATTCCATCCTTTTTTGGGACCTGTACTTATCCCAGTGGGTATGTGTGTATAATAAAGGTCTTCATTCATTCATTCATTCAATTATCTACATTTTGCTACCGGAAGGCATTTCTATTGAGTACAAACAACATTCTTACCCTCTCCTACCCATAATCGAGTTTTCACAGCTAGTATAAAAGATTATTTTAAAAAACATAGATGGTTCTTTCCTACTTCAGTTGTTCACTGACCCGTGACAGATCGTGGCGGGGCCCTAATTCATTGTCTCCTCATGGTATATAGCTTCTATATTGTAACGGCGCCTTGAAGTCACAAACCTCAAGTGGAACCTGTGTCTCTTTTCCCAGATGACTGTGCGGCGACTGACGGCTTCACCTGTGCTGACGGGTCGAAGTGCATCCGGCCAGGGGACCGCTGCGATGGCGTCAACGACTGCCCTGACAACTCCGACGAAAAGAATTGTCCTGTCGGTAAGAACTCGTTACAAAATATCTCTGGAGACTTCTACACTTGGTATTCACTACACTGTACCTATTTGTTATCATCTGATGCAGAAATGTATATAATGTTGATCTTAATTTTTAAACTTCTAGTCCTTTTGCGTTGCTGTCATGAATTTTACCTTGTCATAAACCTAATATCGCTTGAATAACGGTTATTTCATTATATGAGAGATAGATTGTTTCCTTCGTGTACTGTAAAGTGTTTGTGACATTTTCCTCAGGAATTGAAACAAACATCAAACCAGTCATATTATTACTGGCCATGGTATCACTAATGACGATATCTTCGACTTACAGCATCGGCACAGAGTGTGACTGTATCCATGGCGACTACATTCCTCTCGGCTATCGTCTGCAGTCTGTTCGCAATGCTGAATTAGAGCCAGTTAGTAGTATATTCCTCAATCAGTGACTCTTTTGAAAGGTAGAAACAGGTACCTCCAAATTGTCGATATCCTCTGTACATCTTGATCACGGAGTGACCTAGTCTCGCGAGAACACGAGATTAGGTCGAGACTTGTGTGGATCTTCTGGCCTCCCCCGCCTCCTTGCGGAGTAGGCGGACTTGGGCAGCTCCCAACCTTCGAATTCGTTACGATTCAACCCAGCACGTTTCAACTGGATGTGGACCGCTTCCTTAAGCTTTGTATGTGCCTTCCGGGATTCTTGTTCTATGATCTCGACCTAGTCTCGTGTTCTCGCGAGACTAGGTCACTCCGTGATCAACATGTACATTGGACATCGAAAATTTGGAGATATGTGTTTCTATCTTTCTAAAGAGTCCCTGATTAAGAAATATTATAATAGTACTGATAATTCTACGTGACTGATGAACCTCTTCAATGAATTAGAGCCGTCTTCTTCGCTGGTCGCAACTTCTAGCTCTCATCATTAGTCCTCAATAGTCTCAGGAGGTTTATGCAAAATCAACATCTACCTCCGTTTACAACAAACTCTGGAAAATTAGTTTCATTCTTGTAGTGACTCAGGTTTGCTTGTTGTTAATTCGATATCTAGAAAGCTTTCGATTGTTAGATTTAGAAGTAAAATGGTGTACGATATTCTTGGCAATTGTTCATTACTCTACATAATAGAAAATAATTCTGGTATCTATTGTACGCATGCGTCATGGGGTCATGAAGGTTTGACCTCTACAGGTCCTGAATCCCGACACATGAGGAGGATAAGAGATTTTACTTCATTTTGTTGTTTTATAGTCTTTATTTAGTTTATTATCAATCCATCAGAAAGAAATATAGAAATACAAAGAGAAATATAGAGAGAAACAGGGTGCACTGGTGTCCCACAATACTTCATGATTAAAAGGCGTCAGCAACGTTTAGATATGTCCTCACCTTCACTTCGTCAACGAGTAATCTTCACTTCTTTCCCGCTCGTACATTAATAGAGATGCCCTTTAAGCTAGCTATAGACAGATGCCTTTCCTATACTCAAGTAGTGATGTTTAAATCTACAAATAAAACTTGTTAATTGAATACTAGGCTTTGAATTTTTATTTTCAGTATCATATTCCGTAAAATATAAGCTATAACGTTAGTAGCTCTATGTTGAATAAATCCTAAAAGCCACCACAATGTACAATTCAAGGGATCTCTAGAGTTAGTCCACATATATGCTTCCTGTCCAGTTCACCAGTTTCCCGTCCCCAGAATGCATTGCGAAAGCAGGGGTCTAAACCACATTTGCATAGGGCAGGAAGGCATCGGAATGATCCTGTTGACGTTAAACAGCTTGTTTTTCACCGTGTTTTGAGGTGTCGGGGCATTTTATGCTCAACGTTAATTTAATTACTATGGGTTGAATCTGACAACAAATAGAGAATGAATTGAATTTGAATATGTGATTTGTAATGTTATAGTGGTAACGCTATACTGATGCTGTAACGTTACAAACCACATGTTCCGTGTTAACAAAACTTCATTCTCTATTTGTTGTCAGATTCGACCCATAGTAATTTAATTAATGTTGAGCATAAAATGCCGCAAGACCTCAAAACACAGTGAAAAGCAAGCTGTTTAATGTCACCAGGATCATTCCGATGCCTTCCTGTCCTATGCAAATGAGGTTTAGACCCCTGTTTTCGCAATGAATTCTGGGGATGGGAAACTGATGAATAATTCCGACTAAAATTTACCAACTATCCTAGTAACGGTTTAAGCGTCCCACCGTAGACCTAATCCCATCCCAACTCTTCATCTTTGTTTTGTTCACGCAGCCATTTTTCAAGGGGTTTGAAATATTTCAAGATGGCGGACGGGTCGAGGTCCCTCTGTCCAGTGATGGCTTCCATGGCTTCTGGCCAAGGCTTACTCTCACCCATACTCAGCATATTTCTATAGGGAAAAAGAAAATATTGATAATAGTTTCAACAACCCAGTAGATAATGAGCAAAAAGTCACCCTACTCAACAAACTGCAAAACTTGGTAGGCTCTATCTGTGATAAACACAACATGTCTAAACAATTCTTATGCACCATTCTACTTAGAGGATCACCCGATTTACACCCATGCAGATACAAACTGTAACAGTTTAAAAATTACCCAAGTTTACGTTATTGATACTAAACGGTTTGTATTAGATTAAATCCTACATAGCCTACAAAACATTTTATATATACTATTTATTGACCATTTCCACCCATTTGCTGTTCTCTGTTGTTCTTGTCATGTACTTTGTTAATAATTGTATTCTTGTTTGTTTGGTGTTGAGCTTAAAATTAGCTAAAGCTAGAGTATCTCACCACCATGTTTTTCTATTGCCTAAGTCGAATTGTAAATTAAAAAAAACCTAAGTTCGAAAGATATAAGAAAAGCAATCTTACTATATCCTAAAAAGGTAAATCTGAGCACAGTGTGGTGGTAAGACCGAGTTAGACTCGAAATCCTCTGCAAGCATTCAAATTCAGGTTATGCTGAAGGGACATGAAGAAATGTCGAATATTTACTTTAGCTTGGTGCCGGCCTCTTTAGATTCGTAGATGTCGCAGGTGTGTAGAGGACCGTCATGCCCCGCCTCCTCGCAAAGAGCTTGGTGGAACTGAAACTGGGCGACAAAGCTGAAAAAGTACCTGTGAAGAAAACGAAATATTCGAATGAAAGCTCATCTGTGTTGGTAGAATCCATAGTTAGAAATTTTAAGCTTGTTCCAACAGAAGGAAAGAACTCACCATAAATTTTTGACTGATCCCGTCAACATTCGTCAAATGTGTGATGCAGTCTACGTCAGATGTGTGAAAGTGATCAGTGATTGCATCACACATCTGACGAAGGTTGACGGGATCAACCGAAAATTTATGGTGAGTTCTTTCCTTCTGTTGGAACATGCTTAAACTTTCTAACTAAATATGAAATATTGTTTGGCTCATGATTTACGTCATTTTATGATATAAATATTTCAATGCATAACTTTTCTTATACAAATGACAACGACAAATGGGAATAGTCACGTGGCCATCACGTGGCCATCACGTGATCTCACCTGATGTAGGGGGTTCCAGACGGGATGTGGTATTTTGCCCCTGGATCGAAATCATTTTCTGTCCTCTCTACCGGAGGTTTGATGCCCTGGTAGTTCATACTGGGAAATGCAAAGTAAAATATAATGTATGATTATATAACATGTAACTATCAACACAGATGACATTTATTCAGCAAGTTTAAATTGTAGTTTCCAACACAACAAATTGTACTCAAATTTTCGACTGTACAACTTTAGTCTTTGTCAAGGAATGAAACAATCCACCGCTTCCGTGACGTCACGCAGATAACACACGTGACTCCGTGAGTACTGGATCATAGGTTGCATAAAGTCTGAAGCGCCCCCCGTCTCTGTTGAGGGATGGTTGTAATGACCTGATATAGATGGCCTCTTTAATCCCTCGTGCAAAATTTGGGTGAGTCCAATTTCTTGTGTTGGAAATTACAGATTAAACTTGCTGCATAATGACTTCTACCAACAAAGATGAACCTTCAAGATACAGATGAACTTTCATTATCACAGTGTTGTTCATATTTCCTAAACCTTGTTTGAAGGTCCTCACCGTAAATTCCACCAATCCGAGTTGTACTTGTCCGGCGTGATGTCACCGCTAAAAACTCGCCATCTCCACTTGTCAATCATCAGCCCGAACGGCAGGAAGGCCACTTTCTGCAGCGCCATGTTCAGTAGCGTGTTGATTTCAAATTCTGCAAACGCCACAGAAAACGTCAGTTCATCGGAAATGTTTAGTAATTTTTTTTCTTGGCCAAACAGTACCCGTGCAGTCGCAGTCTTTAACGGTTGAATTGATGCAGGTTATCACATAATAATCAATACAAATCACAACAATCAAGTAATACACATTATAACACATATTTGCTCCACAGATTTTTTTGTCGCAAGGGTCTGTACGGCTGCCATTCGGCGCCACAAAGTGACCTCAATACGACTTCCCTCAACCGAAGTTAGGTAACCATTCACACCTGGGTGGAGTGAGGAAGGTTGTGTAAAGTGCCTTTCCCAAGGGCACAACGTCGGGGCGCATGTCCAGACATGTCCCGGGTCATAGTCACCCACTACGTCACCCGACGCCACCCAAAGTACATTATTAAAAGGTATTGACTCTAGAGAAAAAATTGTATAGCAATTATAGGTACCTTCATTCTTTTCAACATTTTGCAGCAGCCCGATTTTCTTCATGTGACCCGGCGTGTTCACAGACAAGGCTATGGTATCTCCCACTGCCTCGTGAAACCCTGGGTTCGCGCCGCCACGGTATAGCGTCTTCTGGTCCTGGGAACGAGAATGAACAGTCGTCATACGTCCGCCATTTTGATACTACATTTTGATACTTTTGAAGTAATTGAGTTTACAGTAAAATGTTAGTAAAATGTTAGTAACCACGTATATACATTTAGGTACTACGGATTGTAATTCATGTATACGTATTCTTAAATGTTACAATAACTGTAAAAACCGAAAGGGGCGAGCAGGTCACAACCGGGAATCGAACCCGAGTTAACCACTACACTAAAAGGTCGCACGACCGTTTAGCATGGTCAGTTTAATCTCCAAGCAGATTCGGTGGGGCAGGGGGACTTTATATTGGCCAGTCCTGTATCCATTGGCCGCCTGTATCCAACGTTCGCCCCACGAATCTGCCACAAAACGCACCAGGGCGGGGCTACCCTTTCAAAATCGGTGTCGCTGCCCCTCCCTGGTAACCATTAAAACGTCGTTTGGTAAATCTTTTTACTGCCCGGAGTTAACGCGCGTCCGGTGTAGGGAACAGTATAGTCAGCGGGCCGTGTTGGCTCCCTGCCGCTTCCGCCTTCCTAATGACTAGCGAGGTATATAATGCGATCAACAACGGTGTTTGTGAAAATTTATGTTGACATTTACTCTGTTTGCGATCAGTAAAATTTTGTCGGATCCTTCAGATCAAAATACATGTGCAGTGTTGTTATCCATTATAGTTGGGGAGGGGGGCAGTGAGATCGGTCAAATCGACGTGCAAAAAAGGGGGGAAACAGTCCAGAAAACAAACTTGTTTTACCAATACAAGATCTGCAACAAGTGCATAGAATGGCGAGATTACAATGATGATTGTGGGCTCTTTGGCAATGGATGGCAGGTTTTGGTAGCAAATGGATTTTCCGTGTCCTGTCGCGAGCCCGACGAAGCTATCTTTCCTCTCCACGGCGGCTCTGATGGCCGCAACTTGGCCATCTTTCAGTCCGGGGAAACCCCAAATGTCACGTGCAACACGATGCGCCCGCAAAATGTCGTTCATGATGAGCGGCGAGCGTATGGACAACTCAAAACACCGGTAATGTTAAGGTTCTGTGAGTAAGGTTTAAAGGTACGGCTTTCAAAATGTGACCGTTATATAATAGGAAGGAAGATCGTGGATCACTGCGCACCGACTCGCGGAAACTCCCGCGGCGCGCGCGTGGAAAACGTAACCCGCCGTAAAACACTTCGCAGCTACTTGAAAATAGGCTTCAAGTCTTCCGTTCTGTGGCAGATTCGTGGGGCGAACGTTGGATACAGGTGGCCAATGGATACAGGACTGGCCAATATAAAGTCCCCCTGCCCCACCGAATCGGCTTGGAGATTAGGTCAGTTAGCACTGTTACATAACAATAAATGTGAGAAGAATGAGCTAAATCACAACGACACAAGAAAGACCCATGCACGAATTAGCTTTTATAGACATTTGAAGCGGCCTAGGCTTGTGAGAAACAGGTTGCCGACCGTCAATTGAATAATTTCTACAATTTTATTGTTGGTAAATTTTACTCATTTAAACTTGTGCTGTATTTGAAGTGAGCAATAGGTATCCAATAGGTATGATTATATTTGTGTTGGACCAAAAGTTTTAACTTTAAACAGGTATTATTATATCATTCTGTGACAGAAGCAAAAAAATTCAAACAGTTACCTCATACGTTAGGAAATATTCAATATGCCCCATTTCGTGGTGAATTGTCGTTA